CGCTAATGCGATTAAAGTATTCCAGCCACCAGCAGCAGCAGCAGCGGCAGTACGCGTCACAGTCAGGCCCAAAGCCACTACCTGGAAGGGCCAATAACGGCGGCGCTGGTGTTACTTTTGATCAACTTGTTATCAGGTCTAAACTGCAGAAGATAACGGTGAGATACATGCTTAGATTCGTTGCAAGGGTATAAAGTCATAATCGGTATGGACCACATTTTCAAAACTCGTTTTCTGACAACCCAACTCAAAGAAATTCTAATAGGACTCTATTGCGAAGTCGGTGTTAATTAATGTGAAATGTTGCAGTCGTCGAGATCGTTGTGATTGCCATTTGTTGTCTATTCCAGACAATCGCGTATCTGTAGAGGAAGGATCTAGAGCGTATCCTAGTACGACCTTTCTGTAGGACTCGAATACGGTCTGGTTCGTAATGGGTAACGCTGATTTTCGTTCTGCCGACTGAAGAACTAGGTATTCATGTTTGGATTGTTCAGCATCTATAATAGAACTACTATGTTAGCATTGACTCTGCGCAACCACAATGGATGTCGCTGGAGCTGTTTACATCGATCTCGGTAGTTAATTTTGTATGCTTCCCGTATACGCTTAATACATAAGCGTTGCATTTTCTCCATTGCTGTTCTATTGCTTCTCTGCGGGAGCAATATTCTAGGATTGGTCTACCGCAGCACTTATACACTGCAATTCTAGATTCCCGAAGCACAATCGACTTGCAAGTGTAGCTGAGGACTGATCTGGCCTTGGTTACACTATGTCCTGTGTGTTCGACAAAGTTCATATAACTAGTGTACTCCTAGGTCACGTACTGTAAAACAATTGGCAGGCGGCAATCAGTCAGTGTATTGGTCGAAAGCCTACAGCGATACGAAATAAGTTGCACTTTGCAGACGAACATTCCATTTTCCAAGGATCGCATCACCAGTCTAAGGTCTTAACATCCATCTGAATATAGGACAGATCAGTGCCAAATCCTTTAGCGAAGAGTGAGAAGATAACTGATATCATCAACAAATAGAGGTGATCTCTCTCGTGGGTGAAGCAATCGAATACGTTAGTGATGTACAACAATAGGGATAGAAATAGACTAAGAACGTTACCCTGGAAAAACTCCATTAGGCTTGTGATTCGACTACGCATCGCTCACTTGTACGGATTGTGTTCGCTGTGATAAATATGATGAGAACCGGGACAACAACCGAGATGATATACCGAATGATTGGAGTGTAGTCAATAGATCAGCATGTGGAACACGGTTGAGAGCTTTCTTCATGTCAAGAACATGATAACAAGCGCATGACTTGAATCCATTTCCTAACTTACCAGACCAAAAAAATTCCAAATTGGCGTTTTTGGTAGGACTTAGTCAGTAAAAATCCATGTTGGGACTTGTTAGTTAGGCTGTGTGGCAGCAGAAAGTCTAAGATTTTCGCTCTTACTGCTTTTTCCATGACCATTAACGCGACAAGCATGTTGCTGACAGCGATACTTGTCTTTGTTTTGACGGCATCCACTTTTTGTCTTGGGAGAACAACTTCACGCTCCCAGGTGGCAGGGAAGTTACTACCTCACTGACAGCGTGTACGTCTTCTGAACTATGAGTGGGATGTCTGAATCCCTTAGCATCCAAAGCACGAGAGGCAAGCCACTGCGACCAAGGTAGCTTAGTCGAGCTGCTCATCCTTTTGATATTGAGCAGATCAAAGTCCATGCTGCAAAGGTCACCGCTTTTGGGATTCTAGATATGTGATTTGGCAGTATCAAGTGTAACTTGAGTGAAGGAGCCACAGAAATGTCTGTTCATTATCTCCCATAGATCTACCTGGTCTGTGATCACTGTTTTGTGCTGCAACACCAATGAGCTGATGCACTCACATCACGGGTACTCCGGTGTTTCAGCAAAACAGTAAGTGCTTGCAAGCTCGATTCGCTCTTGTACCAACTTTGCCGAAGACTACTTGTTTCACTACTCACACATGCCTTCATTTATACGTATGCAAATGTGTAAATCCTTGGTATTATTATACTTGGACGTCATTTTCTTGAGTTTGGCAGACGGTGCTTTTGAAAGAGCCAAGATTAGTTTACAGCTCAGTTGCCGTCTGCGTTTCTTTGTTACCTTTAATCAGTGCGGTGTTCCTTGTTGTTGTATAGCTCGTATACCGCAGCACTAAAATCAGTTCCGATTCGTCTGTCTGAAGAGCACAGTGAAGTTATGCCAGTCAATGCGTTTCAGTAGCCGATAACAAGACACTTGTCTTTCCACGCGGCCCCTCGATCTGGTCAGCTCGAAAGTTTTCCTGTCTTGTTGTCACTACCTTAGATGTGGTCCAGCACACTTGTGGATGCGCGCGCGATGCTAATTGTGAAACAATAACTCATGCACATTATCTTGTCTAGTGTGTGCACGTACATGCTGAGTCCAGTCGCATGCTGTGATAGCGTCTATCAGAGCCATGTATTTTGGAGGTCCTGCCTGAGAGTGCCAGTCGATGTGTGGCAAATTAAAGTCACCACCTACTATTTTATGAATCGAGGGCCGTTCGGAAACGTGATTGAAGAGTCTGGCAAACTTCTCAATGCGTTCTTAGTACTGTGAGGGGGTTATAGTTGCAGCCAGTCAGAAGGTCAAGTTGTCCCATCGTCCTTATGTATATAAACAACTGATCCACCTCTTGAAGTAATGGCGCGCTCATTAGAGAATGTTGCGTAGCCCGGGATGTAAAGACGTATATCAGGTTCACTGGAGGAGTGCCATGTTTTTGTCTAGTGCCTGGTATTGTGAGCTTTATGTGCAACCGGATGATGAGATGGCGATGGATTGGTGGTATCGAATCGATCGGTGACCTTGCAGAACTTGCCATCAGCTGTGTCGTTGTTAGCATGGTACAGTCAGGCACTTAGTACCAGTAATTTGTGGGAGTATGTAACTGAGTCAGAAGTCTACATGGATGATATATGGCTACTGCATTCTTCCGTTGGTGCTGGTGTAACGTGCGATTTTCCGTAAAAAAGAGGCGGGTGTCGGCAAAAGTGAGTAAGATGTCACAATTTGTTGTGGGGGACCTGAACTAAATGAATAGCTGACAGGATTTTGTTTAAGTCTGGCCTCCGCACAGTTCGGCTCGTTTGCCAGTCCAACATGATATCGCTCAATGAGGTGCTCCTTGTCTTCGGACAAGACGGTTGCGCTTCGGGTTGCGAGTTAACAAGTTCGGTTTTTCCAACCGCTAATGGTGTCTGGGTGATTCCATAGTCTGAGAAGGTAGATGTTAGGGAGTTTTTGGATTCGGGTTTTTCTTGCATGAAAATTGCGATTGAGATTTTGCTGATTGCTTCGTCGTTTTAGCTTGTGGAGATTAGTACTTATTTTTGCACTGATGAGTATTAGTGTGGATTATGATGATGAACTATTTTTGCCATTGTGATAACGAGCGTCAGTTAACCCACGTTAGGTCATGGCCATTTTGCGTTTTTTAGGCAGCTTCTTTCCTTTTGGCGAATGAGTGGGTGGATGTTTAGTCACTCGAATACCATGAAACTCAGTAGCAACGGAAAGTATGACCCAATTACTCTCAGATTCATTGCCCATGCCCGGCATATTGGAGTCCCTGTGCTACGCAACATTGGTGGTCCCATTAACAGCACCACTGTCAGAGAGAGTTGCAGTCGATGCAGTGTCAACTTCAGCCTTTTGCTGTTCGCCGTGCGATTGTTTGTTTCATTGGTGTTTGGAATTTTTGTCCTAGACGCGAATCTAGATCCACATTTGGCGTTATGATCTCGCTGGGATAATTTCTCATCTGCGACACCTGACACATCTTTTGCTCTGCTTGAGTCACACCCGATGAAAGAAGGGTTTTTGGTAGTGGTGTCATATCGGGCTTCAATAGGATTCCGCCAAGATTGGCCTGACGTCTCATGTTAAATCTATTAACTCAGCTTGTTTATATGAGCTCTTGACTTTTAAAATTTGAAGACAACGGAACAGGATCGATGTGACGCAGTCTTTTTCAATCCTTTGCAGATGCACCATTCCAGTGTCCTTTTGCACACATTTAACAGTATGTGCTCGACTCTATCGGTAGAAAGACGGTCTGGGACGTTGAAAATTACTGCATTGGGGGTACGGTGGGCGCCCTCATTTAGTGCATTGGCACTAGATTCAAGTAGCCCACCGGCCGCTTTTACCTCCCTTGGATTATCGGATTTGTGCATATACGATAGCCGAGCTAATAGCATAGTTTTTGCTAAAGTTCCATTAATAACAAGCAATTTGTTCTTATGACTTTTCACCTTGTGTTTAAGCGAGTCAATTTTTATTGAGTGCTTTGATCATTTCGTCAGGGAGGCGGTCTTCTTTTCCCTCTGATAGAGTTGAGCAAATCTCCGGTACCGACGCATTTGTGGTTTTTTGGCCGGTAGATCAGGATTGTTCTGTTTGACCTGGTTTTACTTTACGTGGGGATAAAGTGCTGGGTAAAAAAATAAAGCTAAACACTCTATTTGCATGATGCAAAACTGAGGATGCGCCGATGCCCAAAAGTAGAAAAATGGAAGCGATGGTAGCAAAGTGTTACTTTTTAGTGACACAGTACTAACGAATTGTAGATATATTGTTCCGGAGGAACCAAATTAACTACACGAAAAAATAACGCAGCGTTCAACTAGTCGGTATTTGTGGTCCCCAACATACATCAGTGGGATCAGCGTTATTCCACCGTTTCATCTACTAATTAATGTTCTTTCGAAGGACACACAGAAAATCAGACGGTGTATGTGAAACACGAAAGTACTGTTTTTGGATGCTGGTTTTTTGTTCTATTCTCTTCCACTTTTGCTCCGGCTCTCTTGGCACATTGTCCGTACCCAGACTTGTGGATATATATATATATATATATATATATATATATATATATATATATATATATATATATATATATTGAAATCAAACTGATTCGCCATTGACCCTTGTCTAGCGATTCGATCTGGATTGGACTCTGAATGAACTGCAGAGGCGAATAGAATCGCAAACAAAACGTCGTCACGAGATACTCAACCAGTCGGACCAATCGGATCTTTCCCAGAAGGCGAAGGTGAGTTGTTTCGTTTCTACTTCTTTACACATTGGCTGAAATGCTTTTGCGCTAACAACTTCCATTCCTAACCACTCCTTTTCAGATGGATATCTTACTATGACATACCCTCTGTTTATGGGCATTTTGCACTACTTGAATATTTTACACCCAACTCTCCATACGTACATGAAAGCCTGAAAAGTTAGATTTATCTGAATGCTGTATGTCTTCGCTCATATTTGTTGAACTGAACTTGATGTGCCGAGGTTCGCTACCGAGTTACTTGTTGTGCCGGTGTAAAAAGTCGGTCCTTCAGGGACAAAACGTATATTCTGCAAACAACAGGACCAGGCGAAAACGGAGACAGACGGCGAGTGAAACATATCGGTATATACAGCTAGTTGGATCCATAATTAACGACCTTTGTGGATGCATGACATTTTTCCTTTGATTCAGTCAAACAAACTCACTCCAATGCGTCTAACTCTTTGCCAATCAGCGTGCATGCGAGAAACGTGTAAACGTCCAATCGGCTGCCGCCTTTGCTTGCGGCAGCCTAACGGCTTCCTTGCTGGGCTGGCACCACACGTTCGTTCGAGTGTATACTCCCATCACACCGGTTTTGCGCAATCCGTTCGCTGTGGTACGTTGTTCATTCATTCTGGGAAAACCCTACGGAGCTTTCACTTCGGATGTAAGCACTTGGATCAAGTTTAAACTTATATTCACCTTAGTTTCAGCCGCGTTAAATGGCACAAAGCTACTTCTCGCCCCACTCAATCCATTCACTTGCAATTCCCCATTTTGGTTGCAGTACAACGTAATTCCCTTAAACTTCATCTGAAGGAAGTCATAGTACTACTTTTACTTATGCCGGTTCAGGTAAAGATTATTTGCCTGTCGTCCTCAGAGGTGTCGACTATATTTGGTCCCATGCTGCTAACATTAACCCTATCCCGTAGGCTCCCATCACCCGTTTCTCTGTCTCACTTGAAAGATGTTTAAACTACCACCAAGGGAACTAGTTTGGTCAATCACAAACAGTGTCACCCTGTTGTGTCAGTTGAGATCCGGATTACTTTCGGTTTACCTCAGTATTTTTGTTGCTCTCGCTATTTTCTCTAGCCGGTTTCACCACAAATGAGCCCCGCTCAAACCTGGGTCACATGTTTTTTGAGAAGACTTGTCGCAGCCAGAAAGCCACTACACGTCAAAGAAAGCACTCGACGGGCGTTTCGTCCTGTTGTTTAAACTCGCAGTAGTGCGCAGCTGCAGGGTCCTGCAGGATTTGAACCCATGATCCTACACTCACGAGTTACCGACTTATTAGTCGTTTGCATCAGATGGTTGACGTCAATAAATCTAGCTAACGCAGCTCTAACGTTCACAAAGATGCACCACCTCAGTGGTTACCCACACTTAAATTCTTAGGCGTCAGCTATCTATTAGCTATAACTCGCGCAGCTTACCCTCATCGGAGTGACTTCCATATACTAGATATCTCATATGCTTCTTTTGCATTATAACTTGGCCTGGTCACAGCAGTAGCTGATCGGATCACCACTAAACACCGGAAAAACAGAGCCACCGCTTTGCCTTTTTAGAACATGCTATCAGCACTTGTTCTATCGAATAAAGATAGCGAATTTCGTCACCGCTCTCCTTCGCCGTCGATCTAATTTTTTCTGGTTGCGCCGAATTTCCTTTAGACCATTCAAGTCGCTTATCCGTGCATACACTGTGGGCTAAACTGCGCAAGTTTCCACTTGGGTGTCGCACGTTCTCTCTCTCGTCTCGATTTCCACAATGAAACAATCAAATTTTCCCATCTCCTACAAAGGAACGTGGTTGATGCTTCCCACCGAGTAACTTCTGGGTTCCGTAGGCCAAACTATTCGCTGCGTCTTTTATAGTATGCTCCTTTTTAAGCTCGGATCTACTCAATTGGAAATCAGCCAGCTTTTTTGCAATGGCTTTGTGCAATAACACGAATGGCGTTGTCTCGTTGCAGCTCCCTTTGTTCAGTAAGGCCAGCAGGGAGAGTTAGGTTGAGGGACGTTCGTGTTATGGATTACGTTAGCTCTACACCTTTCTTGGAGGAAGTCATTTTGCTAAAATATGCGGATGACGTTATTATCGGTGTGAATGATCCAACTTTGGCCTCCTCAATCAGGCTGCAGTTGTTTTGACAAATGAGTGCAATGCTCGAACTCCTGTCGCTTGATGGTGAACGTATCTAAGTATAATGACATTCTCTTTCTACTTCATAAAGCAGCTGGCTACCAGAAACCTGTCACGAAATGTCCCACACTTCAGACTGAAGGTTACTGTTTGAGCTTCCGTACATCATTGAAGTATTTTAGAATTACACTAAGCCACGATTTGTCACGGTCGCTCTACGTGAACCAAATCGTTACCGAGATCGGGCAAATTTCCTTTTACATTGCTCGATTGCGATCATCCTGCATACCAAATAATTTGATTGTAAATTTCATCAATACCTGCATTCCACCACACTGGACTTATTGCTCTTTTGTGAATCCTCCAGGCCTACTGTATAAGCCTTGACAGGTCACTGAAGCACTTGTCTCGATGCAGTGATATTCCAAAGCCAACTTTGGCAAAAACAATTGTATCGACACACGTTAATTCATGCACTAAACTAGCTTTTAACATATTCACCGACATTAGCCACCGACTTCACCGTGTGCTCCACATCTGTGCATCTACCTCTTCCACCAGACAGTAGTATAGAGAAATATATGCCCTCACCAGGGCTTATGGTTCCTTGGTCATTCCCTACATGACCAAATTTCTATTTGACCAAAGCGATATTATCCATGAACTGACCAAGAACTTTTGCCGGCGTGGTTTTGTTCTTTTGCTGTTGTTCTTCCGCTTTTGAATTACTTCTTTATCATGTCGATAGCATGTGCCACGGCTGAAAATTCACCCATCATGGACGCATAAAAGCGCATTCTTGAATTGACTTGAATGTCTTATCATGGCCTCGTTTCGCCAAATGGCCCCGCACATAGATGCAACCCAGATCGATGTGGCCCGTCATCCTTAGGCCATCACGTGTTCGGTGGGGTTTTGCTCTTGGTATACTCTCCACCGTTGTTATGGGCTTTCTAAAAGGACTTGGTCAGTTTCTGCTAATCAAATATGACATACGCGACTGAGAAGCACATGTGAGAAAGCTTGCCGGAACCCCATCTCAAATGTTGTATTATTCATTTTCTCCTCTTATGTTTACTGGAGGGCGTATCTCCCCCAGTTGCCGAATGTCAAGTGGGCAGTCTCTCAGGTACGGGTGGTTTATTTAGCAATAGGAATTCGTTGGGCAGAAAGTGAAACCACCCCCGGAAGCGCTCTTTTGTTGGCGCTTCACTTGAATATATAACAACGGTGTCGGAGTCCTTCTGTGAAAAAACAACAGTTAATAGATTGCGGGCCTACGCTAACGGCATAGGGCGCACACAATCAATCAAAAAACCCCCTGCATATTGGGCGATTGTTGGCGCTTGCGATTGATGTAGCTGGAGACCGATTGTTGTCGTTTTCGCTATCTTGAGGCCTTTGGCGGCCAACACATCCAGTTCAGTTATCCGCCTCAGCACACCCATCTCTTCATCTCATCATATGCACACCATTTATTGAAAATCAACAGACTTGTCCACTCCATGCCGGTAGATTGCGATGTTCCCATTACCTAGCAGTAACATTTGCCAACATCGTTTTCACATCATTTTTGTGAGAAAAATAGTTTTGTCACTATGGTGCCTCTTCTGTTTCATTCCTCAGCTGGATTCTATCGACGCTCGTTTGGCAGCTCTCCAACGACAGATGAATATCCTTCAAGTTCGCCAGCATAGTTAATGAATGCAAACTAAACTCCTCGATTGTGGTCATTTATATCTGATGTATGCATTCATCATTCGGCACTTGTACAGCACACTCTATTGAAAAATGAAGGAAGGTTTCTTGTGTCACAATCCTCTCTTATTTATGCACCGTAGATCGTTTCTCTGCACCACCATTGCGGCAGTCTAGACGGACTAAGCTCTGCGTGTTATGCGAAACGTATATCACTGGTACCTATGACTACGCCCACCGTTTGAGCACAATACAGTAGGGCAAGGGAATCATGGTATAACTTTGATAACCTTGGTTCTATAAAACAAAATAGTGTGCAGAGCATAACTCCGAAACAGAAAAGCCTATCAGGTGAGCTATTGGTGGGCTGCTGAAGGTAACATCGCATGTCTTTTAAACAAAATGAGCGATGTTGAGCTAACTTACCTACCTTTGGCATTTGAGAAAGCAATCTTTTAGAGTACACGGCAAATTATCAGCTGGTAATAGCGGAGTTGGGTTGGAACGGTGGTGCTGAGCCTTCAACGATAACTAATCTGGTTTCCACTGGGAAGTGAAGCTGCGTAGATCAAAATATCAAACCGAAACGCAAGGTATAATTGCGCAAGTCGGACGCTGGGTTGCACGGGCATTCCTTGAGTTTCTAGAAAAGTGCAAAACAGGGAATATTTCCTCCTACTTATGTGAAACGAAACGGCCAGGCCAACGGTATGGTTTACTTACCTGGGTCCATTCTTGCCATGACTGGCGGAAGTGCTAACTCCACACGCACGCCGATACACAAAAGCGAAGCTTTGTACTGGGATGGTGAACAAAGGAGGCCTTCGAGAAATTAAACATCTGATCGCAGCGGATCATCCAGTCTTTGATTATTCGGATCCATCTCTCCCTCTTGAGATCCATTGCGAGAGTAGTCAACACTGAATGAGGGCAATGCTGACCTACAGGTGGAAACCACTAGATTTTCAAAGCAGGGCCCCTGAAACCAACTGAGTGTTGCTACCTGCAAATCGAAAAAGATATGCCTGCAGTAACTATACCATTGGACGTTTCAACGGCTACACTTTCGGTCGAAATTCTACCTTGTTTACTGACCACAAACCTTTTGTGTCAGTTGCCATTAAACCATTTCATGTGGTATTACGTCACCTCCAAAGAATGCTCATCCATTTCCAGAAATACGAATTGAATCCCATCTGTCAACCTGATTCTAAATTATACGTCTCCAATGCCTTCCGGAGACGTACGAAGTACAGGAGAACACAGACACAGTTAACGCGACACAATAACTCGCTACCACCGACGAATGTTTACGGCATTTACAACATTGCATACAATATGCCAACTGCAAAATGTTAGCACAATAAATAATGAATCTATACGGATTAAGAAGCACTACTTTAAAAGTCCCGTTGAGCAGTTGGGGGTTATCAAAAACTACTAACAAACAGTTGATACTTTAAGTATGAAAAGGATGTATCGTTTGTTCCGCGTTAATCCTGCAGCCCGCGTTGTTTCACAGCCCCCACAGCTGACATCGACTAAACCAAAGGTACACTCCAGAAGTAGGATGGAGATGTAGTGCTAAGTGACAAAGTGTAAGTGGATGAGTGTGTCATCCAACCGTCTTTTAAATATTGATACTGGTGGTGCAGAGACGACCGATTCAGGGAGAGCATTCCACGGGTGACATACACGAATAGAAAAGGAATTCCTGCGACACTCCAGACGGGTATACTGTTCTACGAGTTTCAACGAGTGACCTCTCAGATTTGTATTACTGATGAGTTGTAGTAAATAGCGGCACACATAATGTGAGTCGTGCAGAATCAACTATGCCACTATCAGGTCTCCTCGTAATCTGCAATACCGTCCGATGAATAGCCCCAATCGTTTCAGCCGCTTCTCGTTTGGAAGATCATGCATTCCAGTGGCATATTTGGATGCCCGAAGTTGCGACTACTCAACTGCATTAAGGTCGTGTTTCAGCCATGGATGCCAGGATTGAATTGCGTATTCGATATGAAGTGAACATACGCACTGAGCGTTTATCGAAAATCGAGATGTCCATTTGTCCAAACGCTCTTCACAACAGCCCGACATGTTGGTTTTCAGTCTTCGAGGCATTTTCAGATTGCCTGGAGCAACCTAAGTCACTTTGAACCAAAACACACAAATCACGTTCGAATGATGATTGCTGCAGTACGTGTAATCCGAGTCTGTATGAGTAGTTGATCTGGTGTCGAATGGAGCATACTTTACATATACTCACCTTGAAAGGCAGTACATTTTTGAATGACCACCGATGTACCGCGTCTAAGTCACTCAGAAGCAGATGCTGATCAGCATTCACCTGAATACTGCGCCAAATCTTAGTATCGTCGGTAAACAGTAGAAAGTTTGAAGTGGTTGCCTGTGCGAGATCATTAGTAAACACTACAAACAATCGTGGACCTAGAACTTAACCTTGCAGCACACCACACTGGACTTGTAAAGGGTCAGGTAAAGAGCTCCAAACTCTGACCATTAAGTTTCGTTGGAGGAGAAAGTTGGCCATTCAGCTTAGAAGAGGGTCCCCAGCGCCGCAGTACTGGAGCTTGGAAAGGAGTATCCCATGATATAGACGATCAAATGCTTCCAAAAAACCTGAGTAGACCACATCATCTGACCCGGTCCAACTACTCCGTGCGATCAGCAAATTCGTTGGCCAGGATCGCTTTCGACGGATGCCGTGCTGCTCGGGAGTACTGATGTTACAGGTTTCCAGATAACATACCAACGTATCGGAAACGATGGATTCCATGACCTTGGACAGTATAGGGAGAAGACGTACTGCGCGGTAGTTTAACGGTTCAGTTCTGCTTCCGCTTTTGTGAATCGGTTATTATTCCAACCTCCCACATAGCAGGAACATTGTTCTGGTGTAAGCAGCGCTGTCAACACTGAGCCAAAGGTCCTGCCAGTTGGCTTGCTGCTGTTCCCAGTGCCTCTGGACGAATGGTGTGGACACCCGGGGAGCTGTGCTAGCGCAAAGACGTCAACTTCTGCAATACAGCTTCAGCGGTAAAAGAGCTGTGGGTTAGTCCTGGTGGCGAAGCGACAAAGGCCGGAAGCTTACTTGATGACAAGACCCTCTGAAATGGTGGGGAATTGCATCCGCAGTCCGTTTGCTACTTCCATAGCCGTTCTTGTTGGTCCATCGGCCGTTCTGAGTGGAGGAAATCCTTCCCTCACCTTTCGTAAGCCATTGACATACTTGTACAAAAGTTTATGGTTAGCTCTGAAGGTTTTTGCCATGCCCTGCTGAAATGCGGCTTCGTCATATCTGAGCAATTAAGTTCAGTGGTTGCGTTGGACTACGTAGTTGTCCCAAGTTTCCGGCGTTCGAGCTACTCGAGAAGCCGGCCATCCTGCGTTGTGTACTAACATCCGTTTTCGAGTTCTACTCCTAATGGAAGTAACCGACTCGTGTCTAAAGCATCTGTAACCAGCCGAACTCGAGCCAAGCGACTTCCGGGGGTTCTTCGGCAAGGAGTGACCAGGTTGTGGCGCTGACGAACTGGGATAATCGGTCATAACCTGCTATGTTTCGCACTATCTCGTAGTTTTCATTCCGATAATCTACATAGTAGACGAAGTTGAAACTAATGACTGCCTGATTACTGCGACCCAACGGGCAGTCTACAAACAACACATTTATCATATCCTCCTGTTTTGTAAGCACAAAATCCAGCACAGATTGTTTATTACCATTTTTGCACTGAGTGGGTAAACTGACTTAATTTTATAGCGGAACACTGACAACAAGCTTCTACAGGTCGGCTTTGAAATGTTCTCCGATTGTAGCAGGGATTTCTAAACAATGTACGTTGAAATCACCCATGGCTAGAAGAAACGAAACCTCCAGCAGAACTGACCCCGTTTTTTTCATTGCTGTGACAAATTGGTACTGGAGGATGGTCTAATAATCGAACGTACTCGAAGGTTGCTTCCGAAAGCTATGTAGCGCACCGTCATCATCAGCAACCTCAGTACATCAGCCATTTGAACTGATGCTTCACTGCCATACAACCATAACAACTTACGGAACGGGAATAATAAGAAGGAGAGAAGCGGGACTTATCAGAAAACCTTAATGCCCTAAGCAAACATTCACGGTATAGGCGTCTACACCCTGTCAACAACATACCATCATAAACAGCTGGCTATCGTGCAAAGATAAGGCGGCATAGGCGAGACAGCTTCCTCGCGGCTTTCACTGCCACGCATCATAATCAGCCATTACCCTACAGATAACTCAGCACCAAACACACGTTAAACAGGCAGTCTGACTAGGAGACGGCACCAGAGCCGCCACTGGTGTCGGTTGCGAGCCATGTCCTGTAAAGTCTCGAGCCAAGCACTAGACGAGTCACGCGGACTCCAGTCTGGTCGTCAGTGACTTCATTTCCCGCCGCTACGTCAATCTTTGTCCACCTCGAGTCTTGCGACAACCTACATCTGGCAGATTAAACGAGGCCCTCCTAGGTAAGCGGTGACCAGGAATACGTAACACGTGCTCAAGCCAACGCAACTTATTCAGTGCTATCTGTTGTTCTAAGGAACTAGCTTGAGTATCACTGACTAGCACTCTCCTACGCACATCATTGTTGCTGACACACTGGTGCCACTCGACACCAGCAATGCTCCGCAGACAGCGATGATCAATGCCTTGAAAAAGTCTCAGGTCTTCAGAACGAAGGGCCGAGTCTCACTTCCATACAGCAGGATGGGTCTCACTGTGGCCTTGTAAACACGCTTTCAAACGGAGGGAAATTCTCTTCTGTTGCCAAAGATATCGCAGATTAAAAAGGCATTTCTGGCTTTTGCTACACGTGAAGTGATCTCAAAAGCTATACACCCATCGGGGCTGATACAGCTGCCAAGGTAAGTGAATTGATCAACTACCTCGAGTTCCTCACTATCTAGAGTCAAGGGATCATCAAGTGGCTGGTGGTCCTGCAGCAATACTTTGTACTTTGAAGGTGCGAAACGCATACCAAATAATAGAATCACTCTACACAGGTTATTCATGATTGATTGCACCGCCCCAACATCGTTAAACAGCAAGACAATATCG